GATTTATTGAAATAATGGTGTCATTTCATATTGCTTCCCAATGTTGCACTGTATTGCATAGTTCTATTTCAAGTCAGAGTTGAGAAAGCTAAATCAAAATCAAATTTTATTTGAAATAATAAAACTGACTTTTCTAAAATTTAGTTAAGGATTTTTTTTTACACCAAAGCACACTGTTAAAAAAATTAAAATTCGAATTTATTTCAAAATTAACTAAAATTTATATCCTGAAACTTAAAATTACAGTAAGTACTTTTTTTTGTTGATTTTGTTACATTAAAACAGTTACTTAATACTACTTAATGACATTTTAAAAGAATTCTACTTACTTTCCTTCATTTAGAATAACAATTCACATTTAATTGCAGGCAAAATTGAAATAACAATTCCTCAAACCTTCAAAATTTCAAATGTAAATAACAAAACTGGCATTTGATCTATGCATGCATATATTTATTACTCCAGACACCAAAAACTCCCCTAAAAGTTGATTTGGACACACCTCAAAATTGCTTTTGACACACTACATTTTATTATATTTTTGAATGAATGTTTGGGATTGTAATATACCATATTCTAGTAGAATGTGAACAAAATCATCATCATTGTTACATAGAGTGAATATAGTGAACAATTACTTATTTTAATGATCAAATATAGACAACAATACATCTAACCTGAAATGTTGAACTGATCTANTATATAATTATTTTTATATTTTTAGAATTAGAAATATTAGAAATATATTTTATTTAAAAATCTGATCAAATATTGAATTAGTTTGTAAGGCAATAATTTAATAATTGAATATGGAATTCCATGAGCCAGGAGCTGATTTATTTTTCGACTCAATAATCTGTTTCTGGACTTCATTAATACTTATTTCTTCTTGACTAATTTGGTTAGATGTTATCACCTCCATATTAATGTTTCTTTGATTGTATAAATACTCGTCAGAAAAATCTCTAAAATATTCTATCCACTTATTATAGTTTATTCTATTTTTATTAAAACATTCGGACTTTTTCATTCGAAAACCATTTAATATCTTCCAAAATATTCTTGTATCTTTAGATAGTATTAATTTCCTATTTATATTCGCCAAATATAATTTCTTTTTTGGCCTTAATTAAGTTCAAATAAATTCTCTTAGTTTTAACATAGTTCGTCAGTGCTTCTGTTGTATTGCTCTTTATGTTGTATTGCTCTTTTAAGTTCTTTTGTTTTTTTAATTTTATAATAATAACATGAGTTATCAAACCACTCATTTTTATATCTATACTTATTGGCGAGGTTACATCTCTTAAATTTGCATTCTTCTAGTTTTGATATCATTCTCTGATAATTAACTATTGGTTCTTTCTCGTTTTCTAACGATATCAAATTCGTTGTCATAGCCTCCGCCTCCCTTAACCATTTCTGTTTGTTGTAGTTTGAGGTAAATTTACTATTAAATATTAATGACTGATCATCTCTTTTACACTTCCTTATCTTTTCTCCATCCATTATTAACTTAAGTTGTACTGGAAAATGATCGGATGAGTCCTCATCCAGTACTGTCAAGGATTGATAGTATTCAATTAAGGTCTCAGAGCATATAACATAGTCTACAATTGATTTTTCTGTATACGATGTATAAGTATATTCTGCAGGAACATCTCCTTCTATTCTTCCATTTAGGACTACTAATTGGTTTTCGTGAATAAACTCTAATAGAGTTTTACCTTCACTATTTAATATTTTATCTTTAGATTGTCTTTTATTATTCATATTTTCATAATTTTGAAAAATCTTCGTGTCCGACATCTCTCCTATACGTGAGTTAAAATCTCCTCCGATCATCCACAGGTGAGTAAGAAAATCCCACTTTAGATAATATTGAATTTCACTTAATATTGGTTTCTTTTTCACCGTTGGCTGTAGATATGTTACAATTATTCCTAAATAATGTTTGTTCCAAGCATTTTTTAGTTCGTCTTTTAATTCTATTATCGCTAGTATAAAGTTCTTGCTTATAGTTTGATATAAAATATCATCCAGACTTTTCTTGATTAAAAGTAACATGCCTCACGAAGGACGGCCGAATTTACTTGTTCGGTATTGCATTGCTCATTAATATATTATTTTCTTGTTCTAAATAAGTTTAATCCGACAAATTCAAAGTTGTTAACCACGTTTCAATTATTCCTATAATTTCATTCAAATCTATAAATTTTTTATCGATATTGTCTGAATTTTACCTTCGATTCCTTGGCAGTTCCAAAAACTAAATAATACATTAGTATGTATTTTCTTTGATCTTAATTTAATCTTTTTTATATTATTTTTTTCCGAAGTCAGTTTATTACCGTTCACATTTTCTTCATCTGTTTCTGTATGATTATGTCCCTGATCATCATTTTGTATATTTATTGCTTTTATTATTTTGTCAGGGTTTTTTGGGTTATTTGTCCTAAAAAATGGTTTACTAATATAAAGTCATTAGTATCCATATCAAGTGTATATACGTGATTGTCTTTTATATAGTGATCGTCTCTTATTCGTACTCTGATATTTTCTGCCATTTCTATCTTAATTTTATTAAGTAGTCATTCCTCCTAATTCTAGATCTAAGGCATAAATCTGTTTTTATGACGATGTTCTTTTCCTCATTCTCCATTTTAGTACGGTTCATCCAAAATTTCTTAAGGATTAGATTCCTTTCTTTAACCGAAGTTGTCATTATTTTTATCATTTGATTCTCTAAATTATTTTTTCCCAAGTTGATTAAACCTTCTATTTCTATATCTTTTAACCCTAAATTTACCTTTATAAATTGTTTTATTTCTTGCAGGTTATCAACCGTTTTAAATGGAAAATTTAGAGTAATTAGATTTCTTTTAGTTTTATCATTTAATATTCTATCTAACTCAAACTCTAACATACCTTTTAAATTTACACAAGGTTTTACTTTTTTCTCAGATTGTTGAATTTTTTGACCAATGATTTTCATTTCTTCTTTAATTTTCGTGTTGTCTTCCTGAAGTCGTCTAATATCATATTTGATTATCTGCATTTCCTGGTTTAAAGAAATTGATTTAAGTGAGTATTCCGGTTTATTTTCTCTTAACTGCTCATTCTGTTCCGATGTTTCAAAATAGTCCTTAATTTCAGAATTTCTCATACTATTGGCATTTATACTCATCGCATCCTCTGAAGTGTATTCTTCACCAATTAAATCCACTAACTGCTTCGTGTCTTCCGAACCAGTTAGTGAATTTAATTCCGAAGTCTGAACAAATTCTTTTCTGAGTCTTCCACGCCCTCTTCTTTGCATATTTGTTTGACTTGATTTTAGCGGAGAACGTTGAAGCGGGCCAGGATTCGTTTCGATTCGGCCATAATTAACAGCAATAATATTAAATTAATTGGTTGTTAAGCAACTATTAAAAACTAGATAATGGCTTTTAATCCAGGCGTAATCCGTTGTGCGTTGTTAGTCTCAGCTCTAACAAAAAGTCACCAACACTCACCACGACTAGATGCGCCCCCTAATAATAAGACTAATAAATTCGAATTTAAAAAAAATAAATTAAACACAACGGACAATTAATAAATGAAATAAAGCTAAGAATTGTATANGGCGTAATTGTCTGCTGACCAATCAGTGGCTGTACTTTCAAAAAGCCAACGGCCACTTTCAACCATCTGTCGATGACCGTTACGACTAAAAAAACTTCGATAGGTCTTACTTTCAGGGGTAGGTCTTATATTTCGTAATTCAGCAAAATCTGTGCTAGGTCTTATTTTCTGCGGATGTCTTATTTTCGGGGAAACACGGTAGTTGTCTATTTTTTCTTTCCTTTGTTAGTTGTTGATAAATCTTCTGCAATAAGCAAGGATGCGTTGAAGTTTTAACCATGAAGATGATTTTCTTATATTCAAAGGATCTTCTGTATCAGTTTTGCCTGTGAAAGTGACCGTTGTCTTCTTTCTTTCTTCTTGAACATCATAATAATTGATTGTATTTACCTTCCACATAATAATTGATTGTATTTACCTTCCAAGTTACCTCCTCATCGTAAAGAAACTTTGGTCCATTCCACCATTGATCACACGACTTTAACGTAGCTGGGTTAAGCCCACGTGACGCATAGTCTGCAGGATTCTCTTTGGATTTAACATGCTTCCAGTGTTGTGGAGGAAGATAAGTCTGAATCTCACTTACTCGGTTTGCTACGAAAGTTTTCCAATTTCTAGGCTCACTTTTAATCCAAGACAAAGCTATAGTTGAATCTGACCAAGCGAAAATGTCTTCTTTATTTATTTGCAATTGTTGATTCACTCGATGCATTAGCTTAGCTAAGAGTTGTATAGCACAGAGTTCTAATCTAGGAAGAGTCACAACCTTCAATGGAGCCACTTTAGTCTTTGCACAGAGTATCTTGATTACATTTTCTCCCTGAATTCGTTGCCTGCTGTACAGGCAACGAATTCAGCATAAGCAGCATAAGCTCGTTCTATACAGCAGCATAAGCTCGTTCTATACAGCAGCATAAGCTCGTTCTATACAGCAGCATAAGCTCGTTCTATACAGCAGCATAAGCTCGTTCAGATGTGTCAGCAAACCCATGCAGTTGAAGTGGATATTTTCTGTCAATAGCATGACGTGGTATTTTTATTTCTGTTAATGTTTGAAGTTCAGCCCTAAAGCATTTTTGTTCTGCAATGACTGTAGGTAGCAATTCATCCCATGTTGTTCCAATTGTCCAAAGGCGTTGGAGCATCATTTTACCTTGATTGTGACTGGTGCTAACCAACCCAATGGATCGAATAGTCGTGCGATGTCTGAAATTACAGTACGATTTGTAGGGGGTTGACTAGAGAATTTACACAACACGAAGTAAAATAGATCTTCCTTAGTATTCCAATTAAGACCTAAGGCCTTCGTTAAGTCAGATACTTTAATGTGATGGTTGTCAGTACTCTCAGATTGTTGTAAGGCTGATATCATTGTCCTGTCATTTGAGATCGATCCACTTGCGAAGATAAAATTGTCCTTTATTTAGCATCTCTGTAAGCTGTTGACACAAATAAACTGCCTCCTGGCCTTCGTCTGTACCTGTCATTAAATCGTCCACATAGAAGTCACGTTCAACCACTGTCGACGCTTCAGGAAAATGTTTTCTTTCATCGATCGACAGTTGTTTCAAGGTCCTTGTAGCTAAATAAGGACCAGATGTGGTACCATACGTTACTGTATTCAGTTCACATTCTTTCACTGGCAATTCTGGTGATGATCTCCACAAAATGCGTTGCCATCTTCTATCTTCATTGTTCATAGATATCTGTCTGAACATCTTTTCTATGTCTGCCGATATAGCAATCTTCCACGTACGGAAACGAAGGAAGATTTCAAATATATCATCTTGGATTTTAGGTCCCACACAGATTTGTTCATTTAGTGATTTATTGTTCGATGACTTGGCTGAGGCATCAAAAACCACTCGGAGCTTCGTGGTTTCGCTGCATTCTCGTATGACGCAATGACGAGGTATATAGTAACACTCTTCAGTAGTTGAGACTTCAGACATGTGGTGTTTATTTTCATACTCCTTCATGAAATCATTGTATTGAGTACGAATGTGTGGATCCTTTTCTAGTCTTCTTTCTAATGCCTGAAGCCGACGAAATGCCATTTGCTTGGAGTCTCCTAACGTTGGTTTTTCTTCCTTAAAGGGAAATGAGACTGAATAGCGTCCAGTTTCTTGTCTTCGATGAGTTTTTTGAAAATGTTCTTCACATTTTGTTTCTTCTGCCGACATTTTTTGTGTAGCTTCTACCTCTTCGATTTCCCAAAATTGTTTTAGTATTTTATCTGTGTTACACGTAACAAAGTTGCTGACCCACAGGACCAGAGACTACCCATCCAAACTTTGTGAGCTGTAAATAAGGACAGTTTGACTCTTTCACTATTGACGTGGATGTTAAGACATCATGATAATAATCTGCTCCTAATAGAATGTCTATTACACGAGGCTTGTTGAATGCTGAGTCTGCTAGATCTATATTCTTAATATGCTTTCAGTCTGAAATGTTAACCTTTACTGCTGGGAGAATACTTGTAAGCTTCGGCAATACGAATGCGTTAATTTGTAAAGAGAACTGGTCATATATCGACTGAAGTTGTAGCTTCACTATACCCTTCGTAACTCCAGAATCTGTTTGACCCAGACCTATAACTCTTAATTTTCCAGTTTCTTGCGACAATCTTGTTCTTTGAACAAACGCTTCACTAACAAATGATGACTGCGATCCATTATCTAGTAGTAGTCTAGCTTTATGTTTGGTTCCAAATGAGTCAATCACATTTACTACTGCCGTCGCTAACAAGACAGTTTTTTGTTGAGTTTCAGATGCGTGGTGTGTAATAATCACTTCACTAGTGTTGCAATTCGCTGTTATACAAGAAGATGCTGCGTTTGATGCTGTAATTAGAGGGGAAGATTCGTCTTCATGTAGCATGGTGTTGTGTTTCTTACGACAATGCTTGCATGTAGATGTAATTTACAGCCTTTCACTGAGTGATTACCCTTAAAACAGTTAAAACGGAGTCCAGCATTCTTGATAGTGACCTTACGAGTTTTCACGTTCTGTTTCTGGAACGCTGGACAGTAAAAAACATGATGCGCCTCCTTGCAAACTGGGCAACTTAAAACGGTCACACTATGAGCTTTGAGTGTATTTGATAGTTTTCCTATGTTTTGTTGTGTTCTTTGTTTCCACATATTGCTCACGGAAATCTCTAGAGCACGATATCTCTGCTCCAGAAATTGCTTCAACTCATTGAATGTAGGAAATGTAGTCGTTGTAGCCTTTAATTCCCACTGTTTTCTTGTTTCATCATCGAGTTTGTTGCTTAATGTATAAACCAAAATGTGATCCCAATGATCTGTCGGCAATTTTAACACTGCTAATGCTCTGACATGTTTTACAGTAGTGTCTAGCAGTCGTTTGATTTCACTAGCCGAATCAGTCCTTGCACGTGGCTGTTGAAAAAGAGCCTTAAAATGACTGTTAATAATCTGTCGTTCATTTTCATATCTATCTTGCAGTATCTTCCATGATTCTGTATAATTACCTTCACTGACTTCAATGAAGTGTAGGAGTTGTTCGGCTTCTCCCTTTAAAACTGATTTTAGGTAATGAAGTTTTTGTGCATTTGTTAAAGTTGCATTGTTATGCACTATTGCTGAAAATAAGTCTTTGAACTTGATCCATTCTAAATAATCTCCGTCAAATGTTGGTAGTTCAATTTTTGGTAATTTTATCGACGCGGAGTTTGCCTGCCCTTCAAATGATGCATTCGACTGTCTCGGTAATGCCTGTGTTGATGTCTCTGTTATTGGCGCCTTTTCGTCGATTAATGATGATAATTTGGATCGTGCTTGAATATATTTTTCCTCTACTTCTTCATAATCTTTTTCTTGAGCTGTTGATTGTTCATCTGTTCCAAACATGATTATATTGTTACTTATACTGTATTAAGATATTCTTTCCACGTATCATCTAATAACGTGATTCTTGGTCTAAGAATATGAATAGTTGCATTTTGAGCTTCACTACCAAAGGCAAAATTGTAATGTCTTGTTATGCTTTGTTTAATAACCTTACGGATCCTTTTTTGTTGCGAAATGTCCATGATGAATAATAACTTGCGATATGCTATATTAAACTAGTACGGTTACGTTTAATAAACGAAACCTGAGACGATAGAAACTTCTACTCACTTGCTATTGTTGTACTGAACTTTGTTCGATACTCGATATTCCAACCAACGCAATATCCACGAGTTTAGGCTTAACACACTGCTTTGAAAAGACGTTCCTCACTGAAAATGATTGCGATTCTTTGTTATCGGACTTAATCCGCCTCGATGGACCAAAATTTATGTTATGTAATAAATGATCTTTATGTTTATGCTTCTCGTTTCTGCTAAAAAGAGACAGGACAAAATTTGCTTCGAACTTACGTTCATCAAACGTTCTCGTTCTCGTCTCGTCTTTTCTCACGACAGATATGAGACACATTTATTAATAATTTAAGTAATTACAGTTGTAGAAAAAAATGTATAAAAACTAGATAAAATTAAATTATGGAGTATTTAAACAATAATAAATTTGTAAAACATAAATGTGAGAAAATAACAAAAAAACATAATATCCGCGGGGTGGCGACATCCATCACCCCACCATCCAATTACAAAGAAACTTCGTAAACTATAACAAGATTACTTTATGACTGAACAAGGTCAACTTCATTGGCGAACTGTAGTTGTGACAAAGAAGAGGAGCTACTCCAGGAAATACTCGCTTTATTTTCAAATTTGATATCCCGAAAACATTCTAAAAGTGACATAAAATAATAATAATTCACACTTTTAACATGTCATAGAGTTCCTCTTCCAGTTGCATCTTGTTTTTTTTTTTTGTATTTTCACCCGAAATTACAAAATTAACGTTTATAGCAAAAAGAAAACTTAATATAATGAATATTTACATAATTAAGCTGCTTGTACTAGGTTGTAAGTCTATATACATCATTTTGTACTTCATAAATATCATCCCTTTGAATTGATAGTAGTGTCAATTTTTTTATAGTGGATATTTTTTTTGATAGTATAGTGTCTAAATTATTTGACATGTTCAGAAAACTGTCTGTTAATGTCTAGGAATTTAGATTCTTTACCATGTCTTCTATAAAAATTATAAAAAATACATAAAATATACATTTAAAATGCTTGATAAGAGTTATATCATATTATCAACGACAACATATAACAGGCCCACCGTCACCTTTTGCGACCTCCAAATCCACTAAGAAATTTATTTTCTTTATTTATTCTTCTAAACTGGTCCCGGATGTTTTGCTAATGATTCTAGAATATAAAAGTTAAATGTGTTGACCATTTACAACACAATAAGCCCTTATTAGCTGTAGTTGATCACGTACCATCAACATTCAATTTCTTACAATTGCTGTCCATGAATTACTTTATTAATGGAATCTTTCTGATCTGCTCGATGAATCAAAGATTCATTCTATTACCCCATGAAAAGTCAACACCATGATTGTTCGACTGTCAGAAAATTGTAAAGTAAGTTTTGCTTTGCCCGAAATTCGTTACTTAATATGAGTTTAAGAAAACATAAGCGCCAAATTTTATCCTTGCGACTGAATTCGAAGTAAAAGTTTTCGTTGGAATAATGGGTACACATATTGTCTTGAGCATGCCGTTTGATTTATGGTTTAAAATATCACAAAAATTTGAATATTTTTCATATTTTTAATAGAAAATGAGACGTTTATTATAATTATAGTAAAAGATATAAAGATTTAGTATTAAGAAACATGGAACATATATAAATTCTACGCATCTAATTTTGTTATCTCTGGCACTTAGTGTAAAATCACAAACGAGAAAATTGATTTATGCTTACAAGAATAAAAATAATTAAAGTTTACACAACATTATCATAAATCATATATACATGTATACTAAAGATGAATATAGTTTTGTATTGTTTAATTAATAAAAATACAGTAAAACCAATTTAAAACGGCACCAGCCAGAATTTTGATTGTTTTTGTTTATACAGTAAGGGTATTTTTAAATTGATTTATTCTTCTATAAAGTTTTGGAGGAACAGCAATGCTGTATTCTTACTCGTACATTATAGACAATAAAAGAGCAATGTTAACAAAGGAAAAATTAATAAGAGTGCAATTCTTCGTCGAAAAATTCCACTTTATTTGGTTTATATAATAAAAAGTTTTCCATTTCCGCATTAGACAAGTTTCCGGCTTGTATTATTATTTTACAGAATAAATTGTTCGGTTCCAACATCTACCTTCTGTTTACACAACTTTGTAGTGGGTCCGTTTTAGACAGGTTTTTACCGTGTTTATTTTTAATAAACTTTAATATACAATAATTAATCTGTTAAACAGTTGAAATTTTTCAAATATATTTAATTATGAGTAGATTAATTAATTATTTGGTAGCGGTTCCATATATATGATACTGAAGAACAAATGTAATAGCAGGCAATCTATAACTATTTTCAATAACCTCATTAAAGCCAGCGTTTTTAATGGCATTTCCGATATCTCGAGTGATTTGGCATTTATGAAACATAAGACTCCAGATCGGCCTGAGTAATTTTTGATAGAAGTAAATTGATTCATTCGGATCCTTAACGTGTTCTAGAAAATAGAATTTTCCTCCCTACAACAAGAAGAAATCCAAATTTCCATTCAAAATCTCATATTAACAATATATAATATTTAAGAATGAATGTACTTACTTTTGCTAAGACCCTTTTGATCTCGCTCAAGGACTTTTCTACGTCTTTCACCCAGCAAAGAACAGACGTTGCCACGACTATGTCAACACTTTCGTCTTTTATTTCGCTCATGTCTTCTACCTGAGTGCAGCAGAAATTCTCCAAAAGTATATCTTCAAAATTATTTTTGTTTTTCTCATAAAATGATCCAAATGACTCATATGGATCCACACAGATTAAAGAAACATTCTCGGGATAATACTCGAAGTTCCTTCCATTTAATGGTCTTATTTCCAAAATCCTCAATCTATCTTCACGCGAACGATTAAAGAAAATGGATTTCTCTAATTTTAATTCGCAAAGGAGCTTTCTTCTGACATCATCTAGGAAAAGATCCACTACGAACGTAAAAATACTTTTAAGTATCCATATTCTATTAGATAGTTCAATTATTATTATTAAAGTTACAAATAATGTCAAGCACGCTACACTATATGTCAATAGCATGTTTATCTATTAATAATTGGTGCAGAGTGGTATTTAGAAACGGAAACACGAGACGAGGTCACTTTTGATTGTTTAGGTCAGAATGTAGATAATGACGAGTATTTGATTACAAAAAGAATGTAAGCAATATGTTTTTTTCCTAAATATTATTAAATATTTCGTTATACTTATACAGAAAAATTAAAATAATTTACTATAAAATGCAATTTGGAGCACTAATGTGCATTAAGTGACGCCTTCTTGAGAAAAACCAAGTTTTTCGAGGCGTATTGACTTTCATTTTTCTTGTAATTAGTATACATTAGTGCACTGTAAGGAACACTAATGCTTCAATTTGATCGCAAACATAAGATTTTATTAAACACTTTGGCATTTAGAAATTCGTTATTGTATGTTATTGCCTCATTGATGACTTCAGGCTGCTCTGGAGTACTCGGGTTGGAGTCTAAATTAAGAACTTCAGAACTGTTTCGTCAGAAATCTCTCACCTTTTTATAGGCCTATTTGGTATGATTTTTTCTATTTTTTGTTCCGTGTGCTCTAAGAGGTCTCTTTTATTAATCATACCCATTATGGGTTGGCCAAATATAGAATGAAGACAGCTGGGTGATGAGGAATTGTCCCATCCCTCATCATCTCTCCACCCCAGTGTGAACTACATGGATAATTGTTTATCCCAGAGTAACAGAATAATGGCTTAACCGCCTACGCAATCTAGCCATTAATACTGACAGTTGTAACAGCTGTAATATCTTAACTGTCGGTAATATAATGCTGAAGTGTTAATTACAGGTTTAGTTAGTTTAGCCTAATGTAATATGATGATGAAAGATAACGAGCAATTATTTATTGTCACATCGTCAGAATGCCGGTCTTCAATTTTAATCACAGTTTTAATTTATTTAATTACTAGCAGATGAGCTTGACGTTACTCGGCACAAAATAACAACTACAAAAATTAAGATTATTAGATTATTTCGTACTTTTAACCCTTATATTATATTTGAATTATATTTATAAAGGTTATCTTACGTAAGTTTATCACTCCGAGTGTCTGATCTAATACATTAGATGGGCACTCGGTGTAATAATCTTTTACGTAAGATAACCTTTGTAGTTATATAAATCAAATACTATAATATCACAAACATTAAAACAAAAATAACATAAAGATTTTGGTTATTTCAGCCTACTATTGTCACGTTTATCGCTTTACTCGGATGGTACGAAATGACACGAATTTAATAGGCAGATAGACAGGAATTGAAAATACTGTATATCTTAGATTTTTCAGATATAAAAACATTTCTAACGTTATCTCCAAAAAACTACCATCCACAGACGAATATCGAACGGTAATCTGCCAATCAATCAAATTGGCGAAAAATGGACCAAATATTTAAACTAGGCATCCTCGAAAATCGCTTGAAACATATTTTGTTCCAAGCCAGTGATCTCGTATTATGTCATTTTCCTATTCGAATGCCACCATACCGCTAGTCCAACAGCAATTCGGGACTGTGCAGAAGGGGATCGAAGTTAATTCGACCAAAAGTAAACGTTAACGTCCGAAAGACTATTGACTTGTTTAAATAAAAAAATTCTTGTAAAAACGCTAAAATAATTGTTTCATGTAATAATAAAGTGTTTAAATTCTGGAAACAGATTGTACAAACATGTGGGAAGTATGTTCTCGTAAATATTGCTTTATATAGAAATTAGTGGGCTGGAATTTGAAAAAAAAATTTTAGGCATATAAATTTCCACTATCATCCGCTGTCTGCTTGTCTGTCCTTCTGTAATCTCGAGAAGGAAGTTAGATAGATGAAAGCCGAAACCAGATGTAAATGCTTAGGGAGATAGGAGGCCCAGATTAACTATATATGAACTCCCGGTTTGAAATTATATCCTTTTCTTTTTAAGAATTATATTTAGTTAATTATTTTAATTTTTTCCCAAGAAATGACACTACATGTAATGCCACGATCAAATGTACACAGAAAGTAATCGATGTATAGAAATGCAATGGGATGGCACTGACGTATACACCTGAATTTAAGTACATTTTACTTTCCTGATTCTTATTAAACACAAGGAAAGCGTGGCAATTGTGAAAAAATTATATCCGAAGATCGTCGTCCATAAACTTTAATATTCTGAAAAAATTCATTGCGTACGAAATAGTTTAAAACTAAAAGAATCGGTTCAAAATATTTTCTCAGAAATTAATTTTGACTTTAGGCGTTGAATAAAGACACCGAAAATAGGAATGGGGAGGAGGAAAAATTGTAAAAAGCCAAACAATACTCTTTATCTATTAGAAACACTAATTTGGTTAAGTTGTCAATCGTCACATATCGTCATGGATATTACTCTTATTAAACTTCTATCTTATTATTAGAATCAAGCCTAAGGTACCAAGAAATCGTAAACTGTTCTGAGTTATTCATTGATTCGACAAGAACCGTAGTACAATAGTAACGAAAAAGAAACTTAAAACTGTTACAACAACAGTACTTATGCGGCGAAAGTTCAAAGGTCTATTACGAAGGAGATTTGCCGGCCACTATAAAGTGTACGAATATATTCGGTATTCTGGTATTTACCATCTTAACAGCTTTGTGGGCCTTACATATATTTTTATTTATTGAAAAATAGGAAAATGTTCGAAAAATCACACCTACTCGATAACTACAAAGCAGAAAAATCTCTATACGAGTTTTATTAGTGGCTTAGTTCATAAATGATATTATAAATGCAAGAACATCGAACACATTTCCCTACCCCTCGAAATGATCTTATACCGGACTTCCAAATGTTTGCCTTTAATCTTTCCATCCCCCGAATTCCGAAAACTTGAATTAACAGCGTAAAAAGCTATAATGTGAAATTTCGTTTCGTAATCCTGAAATACAGGGTGTCCGAAAGTTTCCATGCATACAAAAGAAAAATGTAACTTTATTCACAAAAAATTAGAATGTCAGCATTAAGATTTGTTTCAGTAGTGGACCAGATGTGGAAAGAGCGAATCTACTGTGCACACCTTCTATGAGTGTAAGCTAGCAAAATCAATTTGGGCATGGGTTGCTAAAACATGGAAAACGAACATAAACGGGAATAAAATTAAGTTCCAAAGCAATTTGTATCTGAGAAATCAGAATAGCTATGTGTTGAACTGGGTCGTAGCCCTTGCCAAATGTATCATACGGAAAAATAGGTGTATGCTACTTTTAGACAAGAAAAATTATAATGCCTCCATCACCATCACTAGAATTAAACAAGAAGCTAAGTATAAAATTATGAGTGATAAAGACAAAATGTCTGAGAATGAGTTCAGCAAATACTACAGAGGCACGGAGGCCATATTTAAAATCAAATAATAATGTTATTTTCACCGAGGATATAAATCCTGAACTTTGCTGTGCTGTTTGTTACTCCCCCTGTCTCACCTACTTCACTGTGCTGTTTGTTACTCCCCCTGTCTCACCTACTTCATATTGTGGTATCTCTAACAACGCTATGTAAGAAATTCATCGAGGAAGCTTCCTGCACGACAGCATCAAGTACTCTTCACCGCAGTTAACTTCAAACGGCGCACCCAGGAACTTGTCTGCCACATGACTCTCTATTCATCATGATCTGGAAGACTCTCAACTGTGCCCAAGGTCTACAAAGCGATGTAAAAACGTCGGGTTATGTTCAGTATTAATGTTATCTATGTATCAGTAATTGTATGACCTAAATATGTCAACCCCAAACCCAACGTTTTGACACCTGTATATAAAATTTGTCGCGATGTCAACTTAGGGCACTCATGTAAATAATTTATTTTAGCTTTATGTATTGGTGTAGGGGTGACTATGTTAGTCTCTCAAAAAGTTAAATGTACAGTACATATAATGACTAATGTTGCAAGAACATGTGTGTTCACTCTGTAAGTTTTATGGTAACAATAAACTTTTATTAAACAGTACACAGGATGGGTCAGGCAGATCTTGCCTAGTCTTCCCACTTTGTACCAGCAAACATACCTGTCAGCACGGGTAAATGGGAGGGCGTGGGAGGACCGGTCTGCTAGTTAGCGGGTCTCCCCAAACAAACCACAAACAGACTATGGTGTCCACCAGACCCAACACAACACAGAAGACAATGCTGACATAACTTGCTGTAATCCTTGGGCACAAACACAATATCCACTGGGTATCCAAGATGGACTTCACAGTTGTCATCAGCACAAACACAAGTGAGATATGGCTGGTTAGAAAACCACAACCTTTCATAATTAAACTTAGATAAAAATAAGCCTAGATTAATAGATTAATTAGATTTATCTAATTAATCTATTAAACTAATCTATAATGTAATAAATAAACTACTTAGGCCAGAGTCGGTAGATTACCTGGTCTTTCGACTTCCTATCTTCGCTCGTTGCTAAAATCAACTAGAGACAAATGTTACCACCAGGGGCACTGCAATCACAGCTAGAGCGAATCGCTGTGAAATCGAATGTTTTCTTTTTATTGAAAGATATATAACCTTCGAGTTCGATTTCATAATTTTTTATATGCATTTTATTATAAGAATGAAAAAGCTTTTATTTAAACCCAAAACCAGGTTTATGGATAAATAAATGACACNCGTGGAATGCATCGCATCCACTCCTCAATCTTATCGCTAGGAGCACGGAAGAAATGTCTCTTCTCGTTCGATGACTTATAACATGCCTTGCATCCTGGCACAAAGCACGTTGGCATTTTTATGTAGCTAAAAAAACAATTATTATAGGTCAAAATCACTGACTTCAGTATATACCTAACAAGACCAATTCTCTTCTTCTAACAGTGGCGCCGACTAGCGGCAAATATTGTCTTAGCTAAGTTTGAACTATTAGTCGAAATACGAGTCAATGTACCGACTCTGCTTAGGCTTAAATCAGGTGTTAGGTTTATCACTGCTAAGCCTAACACCTGATCTAGGCCTAACTAGGTCTAACACCTGATCTAGGCCTAACTTGTCCCTAATCTCCTATACTAAACTACAGGAGAG